TCCTCCTCCTCCTCCTGGGTGCGAGGCGGGGATTCATCCATATCCACCGCCTGGGGACTGGCGTCCTGGCGCCCCAGCGGGCGGCGGACGTGGACAGATGTTGGCCCCCGGGGGCCCGAATCTATCCACATCCACCGCCTGCCGAGGTCCCCGAAAATTGATCCTCCAGGCGGTGGTCATGTAGAAATTCCCGCCTCGCCATGGGGCCCTCTGCGGAACGCCAGGGTCGTCCTCGTGGGGGAGGACGCCGCAGGGCTCGTTCGTCGCTCGGGTGGGGCGGTCCCAGGAAGAACGGCCACGGCGAGCGGCCGCGGCGTGGCTTGGCCGGCAAAGACCCCTGTCGGCCGCCTGCCGCGGGGTGGCTCACCCGGCGGCACCCAGAGCCTGGCTCGTGCTCCCACCCGGCGTTAAATAAGGGGAAGGGGGGGTCCTGGGGGCCCGGAGGCCACTCCCAGGGGCCGAAAGCGGCGAACATAAAACTCATGGCGCGACTTGCTCGAGTCGCCAGAGGTCTCGGGCGCGCCGCCGCACAGTGGCGCCATCCTCTCACGCTGCTCTCGCTCCCCGCGCACGCTCCCGCACCTCTGTCCCCCACTTCCCGCACAATGCCGCATTCCCTTGCCTCCACCCGAGCCTCCGCTGCCCTCTGGTATCATTATCCTCATCCTCCTCCGCCCCCTCCTCATGCTCCTCCGAATATTCCGTATACTCCTCATACTCATCCTCATCCTCCTCCACATCGTCCTCCTCGTCTCTTCCCCTGCTTCTTCTGATTGCCCTCCATCAATACCTGCAGTGGCCAACCGCAGTCTCAGAAATACCAGTGGCTCGGCGAACGTCGCGTCAAACGAATGAATACACGAGTGAAACATGACTTGGCAGCTCTCGCTCTAGAAAGTGGCACATTGGAGGCATCTCTGGATGGCAAGTCTATGTGGCTTGACAACGGCAAACCTGGACGAAAGGACTCCCACATGATCCACACCAAAAAAATGTGAAGTCAAGAGTCTCAAATCCTCTTTCCCAAGCACGGAAGTCCCGAGGACGATCCATACACCGACCGAGCCGGAGCGAAGAACGGTAATGAGCAGAAGCGGCAGCATGAGCATGAGCCAGGCTGATGAAATCAAGCAGAAGACTCCTCATGATTTGCTAAAACTCGGAGGGGGTGCAGACCGCCCCAACTCTACCCCGCGGAGTCTTCATGGTGAGCGTTTTTGTTATCCAGAGTTTCGACATTGGGCAGCACGGGGGGAGGGGGGGGTCTGGCTCCGGACCTCTGCTTAATGCGACTGTTTGCAGATGTGCGGCCTGCGGGGGAGGGACTCCACCTGCTCGAAACGAGCGCCAAAACAGCCAAGATCTCGGGGGGGGGGGAGGGGGGGGGTACGAGGGCCCGCGCCGGTCGGCAAAACAATGAATAACGATCACCATGAGGAACGGCGCCCTGGCTACACCAAGCGCGTGCACACCCCCACCCGAGCCTGGTAGACCTCCATCTTGGTCATGGCTGCGGCCGCCTGCTTCATGAGGCCTCACAAAAAAATGCAAGCTGTCACTACACTTAGATCAGGCGCCCCCCTACAGGCGGACTTGGAGCGAAAAATTAAGACAGACAGACAGACAGATAGACAGACAGAGCCCGCGTCGAGGCACCTACGAGGGTGCTCAAACAACCGTCAAACAAATAGTCAACTAAAACTCAAAAAATCGTCGAGAAACCGTCCCCTGACTATTTTTTTTTCGAATATTCCTCCTGTATAAGAACAGGCCCGACTTAAGACTACACATGGGTGGCGGGAGGAGTGAAAGAAGAAGGGTGCTCAGTTCTGCACGCAGACGGCAGAGACCACAGAACCACTCAGGGGAGACGAGATCGACAAGGGATCAGACGGCGCATGACGGTTGGACCTCGCCCGACCTGGATGCTTGCTGGGGAGGGCCAGCGGACTGGTGGCACACGCAAATCCAGACTGGACCTCGCCCTTTTCTGGGTGCCGCAAAGCTTGCAACTGCCCCCACTACCTCTTACACCACGCGGGGTTCCCCCCCGGACTGGGACGCATGCAAATACAAACGGCGCATCGACTTCCCAAGGGCCTGCCACGCGCGCAACGGTCGCCACGTTGCTCCCCTGTTGGTGCACGCAGACCCACCCCCAGGAACTGCCAAACGTCTTGGGCGGGTTAGGTACATCCATCAGCATTCAATGTTCTACGGTCTCGTTTCCAGAAGTAAATCAAAAGCGTCCGGAATTCCAGAAACAGTCCAAGACCGCCCAAAGACGGCCACAAAACAGAACACACTTTTCCGAACTGACAACAAAATTGGCGGGCCCAGCATGGTCCAAATCCGTGCCTGAGATAGCCCATGGGGCACGATCCGTATGAATGGTGCGCCGAAATAAGCGGGCGCATGCTGTACGAACGCCCCAGCTGTGGCCGCACGTAAGTCGAACTCTCTGCGGGGCACGACTCGTGAGAGAGGAACGCCGAAACGGGCATGCAGGCAGCAGCACGTAGCGCAGCAGCAGCAGCAGCAGCAGCAGCAGTGGCAGGGAGAGGAAGAGAGAGAAGGGATGAGGAGGTGCACGGCGCAGCGGAGAGAAAACGAGGACCCAACACGACAGCAGGCTCGCGGAAAACGATGTGGAACTCAGTGTCTTGAGCACTATAAGACCGCATGGCTAACAGTTGCACGGATACTGTTTCCGAATGCCGTCAACGACAGGCGTGCCAGGAGCAGGGCGCCCTGGTCGCGCGACGGCAACCCCCTACGGGCGGACTCGACTGGACAGGACACGCGAAAGAAGGACACGAGACCCTTCTGAGGGCCACGTTGCCACAGGAATGCAAGAAGCATGGGTCGCGAGACACAGGACACCAGGGTACCCTTGATCTGGCAGGGTCCACCTACTAATCTGGGCCGACTCCACCCAGAGTTCTCGAACTAGAACAGGAGCGATCACGCAAGGGGGGGGGGGGGCCGGACGGGCGGCGCGGCGCGCGCTCCCAGCGGAACCCAAACTGGCACGCACGCTGCCGACCAGCCTGGAGCGCCCGATTCGCACTTTGCCCAATACCTCGCGCTTCGCTTCGCTTCGCTCGCAGCTCGATGTCCCGTTGGACGAAGCTGTTCGCGCGGCCGCGGCCGCGCGCGCGCGCCCGAGGCGCGCGGAGGGGGCCACCCCCCCGACACGGGCCCCCGCCAGGAGGGCAAGGAGTAGAAGCCGCCTAGGCCTCGCAGGAGAAGCCGCTTGGGCCTCGCAGGGGGAGAAAAAAGGGCCCAGAAGTTTCGGGGCCCAATACCTCGCGCTCCTCCTCCTCCTCCTCCTCCTCCTCCTCCGCCTCCTCCTCCTCCTCCTCCTCCTCCTCCTCCTCCTCCTCCTCCTCCTCCTCCTCCTCCTCCTCCTCCACGCGGCACTGGCGCCTCCCCCCCCCGCCCAACGGGCGTGCCAGGAGTGGGGGTTCGGGCGATGGCGCACGGGACCAGCCTGGGCGATGGCGCACGGGACCAGCCTGGATTTTCCAGCCGCAGCGCGCTGTCCACGCGGCGGCTGAGAGAACGAGAATGGGTGGCCCAACAGGAACTGCATGCATCACCCCAGACTCGCGATCAGCACGCGTGCGTGGCCCTCCTGAGCACCGCCAACCGCTGGCTGCTGCCCCGCCGCCACCTGGCAAACGGCTGCGTGGAGAAGCCCCCAACGAAGAGACAGGCTCGCTGCGCGAAGTCCGCCGAAGACGCGGCCGATCAGCCCCTCCAGGCCATCCTCGCCGCGACGAGACGCGCTGAAGTCGCCGCGCAGCTCGGCGAGCTCACCAAGCACCGACTCGAGGGCAAGTCGCTGCCAGCGCGCGCCGCCAACGAGCCGCAACGTCCTGCGAGGCCCCCCGCGCGCGGCATTGGCCTCTCGGCGGAAACCCACCGACCGAGGAGTCGGATAGGCCAGCTGGCGACCTCTGAGCGCGCCAAGGCCCTGCGCCCCGGTGGACCTCGGACGACTGCCCCCGACACGCTCGGAGACCTCGGGAGCAGACGGCGCGCCCTTGAAACGTGCTCCAACGACGCGAACCCCAGCCTCGACGATGTGTCCACGCAGGTGCTCTCTGAGACCGCCGCCCTCACATCTTGAAGCCGGTTCCTTGCTCGAGCCCGGCGCTGAAGTCGCACGCGTTGATACCAAGCTGGCCTGCCACCCACGCGCCACTACTCGCCGCTGACGAAGGGAGAGCTGGGAGCCGCGGCAGACATTGCTCCCGTCAGCGCTGCTGAGTCCTTGGTCTCGTCCGGAAGCTCCTGCATGCGCGGGTCGTACGCCGCCTTGAGGGTTCTCATTGCGTCCGGGAGCTGGGTCGTTATGCGCTGGGTGGAGATACCGAGGACGTCCATCATGCCAGCAGGAAGACTGTCGAACATGGCCCCTCCCTCCACATGGGCCTTCAGACGCATCTCATCCGTGCGCATTTCGCATCACGAGACGAACGGAAATCCACCCTCATCTGGGCGGCCATGCTGTTGACAGAACATGAGGGGGCAATCGGATCAGCAACTCAACAATTACAGAGGCTCTGGGACTACACGAAGAGGAGTTGGCTCCGTGTGCGGACCCACTCCCTTGAGCCAGAAGGGGGAGGCCCCGTTGCATCCGGCCAGCGCTCTGGGATGGGAGAACCACGAGGGACGCGGCGGCCGCTGGCGCGTGGCGCTCGGCCCCTTGACTCGAGGCACCTGGTCCCCGAGATGCACCCGTCGTCGCCGTACTCGTCGTTCTTGTCATACTCGTCGGCGTCGGCGGCGGCGTCGGCGTCGTACTGGTCGTTGCCTGGTGGGGTCCTGGGCCTCACGGGTTTATCGTCCCTGCCGGAAGCACGTGCCTACAGTACACGTTGGTCGGAAGAATCGACACCTAGACTTGAATACACATATGAGATTGAATAGGAAACTGTGCAAAGCAAATTCGGCTTCGGCACGCCCTCGAAAAAGGAAGGGAATGGGAAATCCCTTCGACTGTGAAGTAGGAAGGTGCTCAAGATATACTGCGATCTGCGCTTCCAGAAATACACATGTGACCCACGAGTTCTGAGGTACATGCTGGCTTAGAATCCTCGACAGGCGCCTTGCCGACCGCGTGCTGCAAGATACTCGATGTGTCGATGTCACGCTACATTTCACTCATATGAACAACTGCACATGCCTCTACGCAAAAAAAATCTGATAAAAAGCCTATCGGAGCCGTGCTGGGATTCTGCATCATGACGTCCTCCACATGTCAGGCGTGTCAAAGCAGCATGGCCAATGAACAAAATGCACAGCAACATGAGTGGAGAGCTCCCCTTCAAGGCACTACGTTCGACTTTCTGTCGCCCTCGGCGTGCGAATGCAGGTGCAATACCGCTCATCCTGAGTCGTTCGATGTGCTGTGATTTCGCAGGGTGGGGCAGCCTGCGTGAATCTAGCTCGCAAAAAGTAAATTGGACCAAGACCAAAGTTCGAGATACTCTGAGAATGCAATACAACGATGGACTATGAGCATGACCAGCGCTAATGCGAGAGCACAATTCTAGATCCCGCAGGGTGCCACGACAAAGGCGAGAGCACAATTACGTTGCCCGACCCTGAATACCGATGGCGCTACAGCGAGAGCACGCGTCTGAATCATAGGTCTTGCCGACGTTAACCTGACAGCGAAAACTTGAATCCCAGATGTAGCCCGTGCGTTTGCAAGAACGCCACGGTCGATTGTTCTACTGGGCCAACGGTGTGGGCGACGCATCGGCGGGAGCATGATGATGAAGTTAGAGATTGTGCAGATATTACTGCATTGAAATTCTGAGCGGGAGCACCACTGCGCCTGTGTTACGGCGGGAGCATGGATTGATGCGACAAAACGGTACTCAAACACAAAATTATGATAAGTATTGCTCGCGGCATCGCCATCATTATGTTTCAGACACCAGAAACAGCTGGGAGCGAAGCGAGAGCACCATGCGGGGCACGGTGGTTCGAGGCACGCCGCTGTCGACTTGCCAACAAAATCATGGCGCGCAGGGGGCACGCCATGTTGCCATCGGTCGTCAACCTCCACGCGAAACCTCACAGCGACTTGCTTCAATGCGGCACACACGGCGGCAGACACGGTCGGGCGCTGCCAGCCAGCACCTTGTATAGAAGAAGAAAAAAAAACATTATCATAAACTTTTGGCGCACTCCTTGGATTCGCGCTGGACCCCCCTCCATGGCGCGCGGAGCGCGCCAGGGTCGGCGCCGGAGGCGCCGCCGAGGGGCCCAGGCGCGGATCCAAGAAATCCGCGCGGAGCGCCAAAAGTTTACTGTGTCTATGCGGCGTTTCCTCCTCGACTGCAGGGCGGCGAAACCACCGCTCGGGCGCATGGCTCCTCGTCCACATCCCTGGCGTGGGGAGGAGGAGGAGAGGAGGAGGAGGAGGAGGAGGAGGAGGGGAGGAGGAGGAGGAGGAGGAGGAGGGGGAGGGGGGGAGGAGGGGAGGAGGAGGAGGAGGAGGAGGAGGAGGAGGAGGAGGAGGAGGGGGAGGAGGAGGAGGGGTAGGATCGTCGGTCCGTTGCCGCGCCTGCCTCCGAAGTCCTGCAGCTCCTGGCGGAGGGCAGGCTGCCCCTGGGCGGCTCGACCCCCGGCAGTTCACCCGTGTCCCGTGCCCCCCGCTCCGAGCCACGGCGCGTGGGAGCGAGGTGGCCGAACACCGTCCTTATTCCACATCGCATGGGCGGAGGGGGGAGGCCCCCTACAGTGAGGGTCTTGACCTAAGGAACCCAAAACAAAGAACGAGGCCCCTCTTTTCCATGCGTTAAATAAACTTCGATTTCCGGTCGAAAACAGAAGGAAAACCTGAGGCACGCTGTGAAACACGTAAGGAACGCGGAGCCCCTCCCCAACCAAAAGGGTTCCTTCTTCAGGGCCCCTACTGCTTCGCAAGGGAACTCAAGGTCCGGTTCGACGCATGCTCCGCACAACTGCTGCGGTGCGGCGGCGGCCCACTGTTTCCAAAAGACTGGAAGGAAGCCTGGGCCGTGCAAACAGAACCGCGAAGCGGCATCTGTATATACATATATGATACACGTATACATATATATATATATATGTACATATATGTATAGATCTATGTGTAAATATATCCGCAACCTTGCCTTCAGCACGTACTGGAGAGCCCAAAAGTCCATCGGTCCTGGAACATCAACACACTCTTGCAATCGTGAAGGCCCAGAACTCCTGAAGATTCCTTGGGTGTGCCTGGTGAGACTTCCGAACCCCACGGCACCAGGACGGCCCAGGAGGGCCCCTCACAGCCGCACAGAAGCGAGGAGCGGATGCTTCGCAGCGAGAGAGCGCGTCGGTCCTCGCTAGGCATGTTGAGCTCTGAGATCGTGCTCTCCCATCTTTTCAAAGACATTGCGAAATTGCCTTTCCTGCGGGCGCACATCTCATGGCGGGCAGCAGTGCTTGTAAGCGCGGGTCGGGGAGAGTGAGAAGATGCAAGCGGGAGGGAGGCTTCAATTCCGACCAGCTCGGCTCCACTGAAGGCCTCCTTGTCATCTGCTTGTTCGTCCGTCCTCCAATCATGCAACCTCCTCATGGTCCTCCTCACTGCTACCGAAATCCTGTATCTTCCGCGTGCTTTTCCTCCGCCTGCACATCCAGTTCCTCCTCCTCCAACTCATCCTCATTCTCACCTTCCTCCCACTCCTCCTCCTGCATCTCCTCCTCCTCCAACTCCTCCTCCTCCTCCTCCTCCTTCTCCTCCTCTTCATCCTCCTCCTCTTACTCCTCCTCCTCCTCCTCCTCCTCCTCATCCTCATCATCATCATCATCATCATCATCAACAACATCATCAGCAGCAGCATCATCATCACCACCACCATCATCATCGTCATCATCAGCATCATCAGCATCCCTTCGTCCCCTTTGTCCCGTCAGAATGGAATGAGAGAGGAGCGGCAGCTGGTGGAAGAAGAGTGGACAGGAGAGGTCGGGTCAACTCTGCGTTCGTGAAGTAGTGGATGCCTGTCTTGACCGAACGACATTGGTACACATTAAAAACGTCGACGACGAGATGAAAATGACGACGGCGGCGGTCATGATGTTGATGACAATGATGACAATGATGACATTGATGATGATGATTATGATGATGATGGTGATGATGATGATGATGAAGACGACGGCAAGGAAGATGATGATGCTGATGGTGATGATGATCATTATCATGATGATGATGCTGCTGCTGATGATGATGATGATGATCATGATCATGATGATGATCATGATGACGACGACGACGACGACGAGACGAGACGAGACGACGACGACTGCGAGAAGGAAAAACCGTCGACGAAGCGATGACAGTGACGACGGCGGCGCTGCTAACGATGCTGATAATGACGACGAGGAGAATGATGATGACGATGATGATGATGATGATGATGATGATGATGATGATGATGATGATGATGACGATGACGATCCCCATGATCACTGTCACTCTCAGGAGCTCCATGTCTTGTTTACCCTGGTCGCCCCAAGCTCTGGTGCGCAGAGGGCGGCAGGACTGCATGACTCGTCGTCGCGGGTGCCGCGGCGGCCCGGGCTATGTGCAGCCAGATCGTCTGCCAAAACGTGCTCGACGTATGTATTGGGATCTGATTTGGAATCCACGTCTGGAACCTGTCCTGTCGATACCCTGGCCACCATGCCGAGCCGACTCCCGCCAGGGACAAGAGGACTACGCGCGTCATTCCTCCGGTCCCAGGGGCATGAAGACGGTACACACACACACACACATACACAACATTGCAAACCCGAGCAGCGCACCAGATGAAAAGAGACCCAGGAACGCAAAAAAACATGCCGTGGACGCACCCCACTCGTCTGCAATATGTGGCAATATTAACGAAATCATCCAAGACGAAAGAACGTTTGGAAAGGCATACTGGATCTTCTGCGAGCTGCACGGGAACGCGTCACTCCGACCTCTCAGAGCTCACGGGAGGCGAGGTTTTATGCAGAGTAAAACGTTACTCCGCTGGACCTCTCAGGAGCTCACAAAAGGGTTAACACAGTTGCGCAGTTGGCAACAGTTGGCAGCACCCCGGGAAGCAAAGTAGAAGGCAGGTAGGAGTTTGGAGGCAAGAGGAGGGAGGAGGCGGGAGCAGAGGAATAGGAATGAGCAGCAATGCTCTGGTCTGATCAAAAAGAATACGAACCTGACACAGGAGGGATGCGGAAAAACAAGCACGGGATCACGGCTGCTTCGACTCAAGATGACACGCGGTGACGCCGTGGCGTTGTGGCACGACTCGTGCGCGGCTCCTGTACTCGCACAGAGCGATGCCCAGCAGGGTGCGCGCCCGGTATTCGGGAGCATCCTCTCATGTCAGGGTGTACATCGTGGAGAGAAGAGGGGGAGAGAGGGGGGGAGACGAAACGAACGAACAAACAAACAAACAAACAAGCACCAACCAAAACCAAATCATGAAGGAGAGAGACACGGAAGGGGAGGGAGAGAAAGACGTACATAAAGCGATGAGGCTGACACAGCAGCTGAATATGGAAACGCACTGGAACGGATGATAAAAGACACGGGTAGGAAATCTGCAGACTCCTCGGCGTGTGAAAGACGCCGTCAGTGTCGTCGTCGTCGTCGGCGTCGTCGTCAGCCCCACGTCGTCATGAGCATCGTTCAACCGATCCCCATCCCCACCAGGGTGGGCTGGGCCCCACTGGACGAATTACCCCCCTGATGGGGATACAGGCTGCTCTCTTCGGGTTTCGAGAGGCATATCCCCAACTGAGGTGGTGAGACGGTGGGGCTCGAGATGTGGATGGGGATGGGGATAGGGATCGGTTAAACGATACTGACGTCAGTCCCACGGACTTCGAGGAACAAGAGGAAGGAACGTCGTAGTGAAGTCGACTCCCTTCCCTCTATCCCTTCCCTGCTGGGCGGGAGGGGTTCTTGGGGGGGGGCCCGGGCCACCATGCCGCCCCCCCCCCCGGGGGGAGCCGCGGGTCCAGGGGGGCGTCGCCAGCGGGGGTCTGGGGGAAGGCCCCGCCTTCGGGGTCGGCGGCACCGGCCGTGAGGCCTTGGCAGCAAGACGCGCGCGAAAAGATAGACGACAGAGAGCAGGCGCGAGGAAGGATTGAGATGTTCTGCTACACCGCCATTCCCGAAAACGTTAACACCAAGCACGCCAACACTCCAACACCCCTTGAGATGGCAACGATGTTGGAAAGGGACACGTTTGCATGGGCTCATGCACCAAAGCGCTCTAGACCGTGAAGCAAACTTGCAGAAATTGGAAAAAAGCCGGCGAAGCCTGAAGAGCACGGCGCAAACACATCAAGGAAACGTGGCTACAATGACCGCTGGGGGGGCCTGTGGACACACGACCCGGGATCATATATGGTCGAGAGTTTGGGCCCCCCCACCCTCAATGCTAATGCCATCGGCCCCCCCCCCCCCCGCGCGATGCCCCCCCCCCTGTGGGCGTGGGCGTGGCGTGGTGGCTCCCCCCCCCGTGGATGTGGTGTGGGTGTGGTGTGTTGCTGTGGGTGTGTGCAGGATGACGCCATCGTCCTCCTCCCCCCCTCCCTCCCCCTCTGTGGGTGTGGGTGCGGCGTGTGGCTGGGGTTGGCGTCATGTTGACAGCTCGGGTGCTCGACGTCGTCGCCGCCGCCGCTGGTGGTGCCGTCGACGTCGTCGTCGTTGTCGTCGTCGTCGTTGTCGTCGTCGTTGTTGTCGGTGTCGTCGTCGTCGTCGTCGTCGTCGTCGTCGTCGTCGTCTTCGTCGTCGTCGTCATTGCCGTCGTCGTTGTCTTCCCCCTCCTCCTCCTCCTCCTCGACCTCCTCCTCCTCCTCATCCTCCTCCTCCTCCTCCTCCTCCTCCTCCCCCCATCCCATCTGAAGGGGGTGGGGGCCCGAGGACCCTGGGACCCATCCCATCTGGGGGGGGAAGCCCGAGGACCCTGAGCCCGCGATCATATATGACCACACACTGCCACACGAACGTGTACGCATGCAAACGGACATGCCAATTATCTGACTGGTGGTGCTATTACATTCAATATGATTGACCTCCTGCTGCGTGTATTGCAACAGCTGCTGCCGCTGCAAAGAATATTGGGGCAGCTGTTCCCCCTACTGTTTACACTACACATGATGGCCTTTCTGATACCACCACTCGCACTGCTCCGACTGCTTGCGCTCGCGTTCGCTCTCTTACGAGTTTCTGTACATGGCTTGTCCAACCCAACTCCTATCCATACCATGATATCCCAGCCCCTGCTCCTGCACAGCAACTCGTGGTGCTACTGCTGCGCCTGCTCCGAGTCTTCCTCGCCTGCTCACTGCCATCACTTGCCCCTCAAATGCCCTGCTGCACTTGCAAGAATCCTTGCCAGCGTTTGCAGATTGCTGACTCATCAGCTTCAGAAGCTTTTCCCGGTGTTCGCAGGCCACGTTGCCGAAATAGTTCTGGGGGGGAAAAGCGGCAAGGGGGAGGGGAGGAGTGCTCCCGACAGGGGATCAATGAAAACACGCTACCCTGTCCTGCGCGATTCCTAATACCCAAAATCATCCGAATCGCAAGCAAACAGCCGCCACCACCTTCGCATCATGATCATGCGTAATTCCCTTATCCGTGAGAGCATTCGGACTCCTTTATATCCGCTCGCGCTCATCATCTGGAGAACGATCTGATCAAATGGTGCTGAAACTGTTGCGCATGAAATAACGCTGCGAACAGTCTGCGCGCGCATGAATGCGCAACCCTCACGCCGCCTCCTCCGCTTCGATGTCGTTGAACACCTCCTGGCCCTCATCGTTCAACCACTTCGGAACCGGAATCTTCTGCGGCCCTGGCATTCAGCACGATGGTTGTGCAACATGAACACGCATTGCCCCAGCCAACTCTAATGAACGCAAGCTTCACATATTAGAGTAAGCCCACAGGGCTCCTTCTTCACAGCATCTAGCCAGATAACGAAAGCCGTACATCATATGTGCCTCCTTTACCGATGACCTCGAAGCAAGCTTTCTGCCGTAAGAGGTCCGCCCCTGCACACCGAATACGAACCCTCTTGTGCCTCGGACAGAGAACACCTTTTTACACGCGCAGCGTGACCTTTGCGAAGCGGATGCCGGCTATGCCACCCGCAGCATCCATAGTCACGGATACTCGAGTGGATGTCCCCAGTGTGCCAATGATCACCCGAAAAAAAGACCTCTAGAGAGCTTGGCTTTCGTGGAAATCACGGTGCTACGAGGCTGGGAGGACCCAAACGGAGGAACTGATGGACGTCGAGATCAGCAGCCGTCTCTGTAAGAACATCATGTGACTCGTGTTCTTCCTTCTGAGCGCTCTAGAAGAGAACTGCAGACCCGCAGGTGCCCCAGGAACGAAAATGTACCCTGGCGAAGGATCCCACCCTACGCAGTTGTGCATACGACGGTTGTGAGCACTGCCTTCGGTGGAGCTCCCCGTGGGCACGAGGCACGCGCAGGGTGCAGGGCAATGGGGCGGGGCCGCCATGCGGGGGCTGCCGCTGGAGCCTTCGGTGGAGCGCCCTTGTGGGGCCACGACACGTATGCGGGGTGTGCCAAAGTGGAGGGGTGCGGCATGGGAGCCATGCCACTGGGGCCTTCGGTGGAGCTCCCAAATCGGGCCACGAGACGTGCGAGGGGTGTGCCAAAAGTGGAGGGGGGCGCGGCATGCGAGCCATACCACTGGAGCCTTCGGTGGAGCTTCCCGCGGGGCCACGAAACGTGCGAGGGGTGTGCCAAGTGGAAGGGTGGGGGGCTGCATACGAACCATGCCACTGGAGCTCCTCATGGGGCCACGAAACGTGTGAGGGGTGTGCCAAGGTGGAGAAGGGGTGCGGCATGCGAACCATGCCACTGTGGCCTTCGGTGGAGCTCCCTATGGGGCCACGAATCGTGTGAGGGGTGTGCCTGAGTGGAGGGGGGCGCGGCATGCGAGCCATATCACTGGAGCCTTCGGTGGAGCTTCCCGCGGGGCCACGGAACGTGCCAAGGGTGTGCCGAAGTGGAGGGGGGTGCGGCATGGAACCTTCGGTGGAGCTCCCTATGGGGCCACGAAACGCGCGAGGGGTGTGCCAAAGTGGAGAGGGAGGGGCGGCATGCCAACCATGCCACTGGGGCCTTTGGTGGAGTTAACATAGAGGCCGGCCACGGAACGTGCCCAGGGTGTGCCAAAGTGGAGGGGGGTGCGGCATGGAACCTTCGGTGGAGCTCCTCATGGGGCCACGAAACGCGCGAGGGGTGTGCCAGAAGTGGAGAGGGGGGTGCGGCCTGCGAACCATGCCACTGGGGCCTTCGGTGGAGCTCCCTACGGGGCCACGAAACGCGTGAGGGGTGTGCCGAAGTGGAGAAGGGGATGCGGCATGCGAGCCATGCCACTGGAACCTTCGGTGGAGCCCCCCACGAAAAGCGCGAGGGGTGTGCAAAGCGGAAGGGTGGGGGGCCGCATGCGAACCATGCCACTGGGGCCTCCAGGGGAGCTCCCCATGGGGCCACGAAACGCGCGAGGGGTCTACCAAAGTGGAGAGGGAGGGGCGGCATGCCAACCATGCCACTGGGGCCTTCGGTGGAGTTACTGTAGAGGCCACGGAACGTGCCAAGGGTGTGCCGAAGTGGAGGGGGGTGCGGCATGGAACCTTCGGTGGAACTCCTCATGGTGCCACGAAACGCGCGAGGGGTGTGCCAAAGTGGAGAGGGAGGGGCGGCATGCCAACCATGCCACTGGGGCCTTTGGTGGAGTTAACATAGAGGCCACGGAACGTGCCCAGGGTGTGCCAAAGTGGAGGGGGGTGCGGCATGGAACCTTCGGTGGAGCTCCTCATGGGGCCACGAAACGCGCGAGGGGTGTGCCAGAAGTGGAGAGGGGGGTGCGGCCTGCGAACCATGCCACTGGGGCCTTCGGTGGAGCTCCCTACGGGGCCACGAAACGCGTGAGGGGTGTGCCGAAGTGGAGAAGGGGATGCGGCATGCGAGCCATGCCACTGGAACCTTCAGTGGAGTTCTCCGTGGGGCCACGAATCGTGCGAGAGATGTGCCAAAGTGAAAGGGTGGGCGGCTGCATGCGAACCATGCCAGTGGGACCTTCGGTGGAGTTCCGCATAGTGCCACGAAACGTGTGAGGGGGGTGCCAAGGTAGAGAAGGGGTGCGGCATGCGAACCATGCCACTGTGGCCTTCGGTGGAGCTCCCTATGGGGCCACGAAACGTGTGAGCGGTGTGCCTGAGTGGATGTGGGTGCGGCATTCGAGCCATGCCACTGGAACCTTCGGTGGAGCCCCACGTGGGGCCACGAAAAGTGTGAGGGGTGTGCCAAAGTGGAGAAGGGGATGCGGCATGCGATCATCCTCCCGCATGTAGACCCTCCCACTGGGGTTTTCCGTGGAGTTCTCTGTGGGGCCACCAAAACTGCGAGGGGTGCCGAGATGGGTGCGGAACAACATGTGGACTTTCCCACTAGGCCCTTCGGTGGAGTTCCCTCTGGGACCACGAAACTTGTGAAAGATGTGCCGACATGGAAGTGGCTCCGCATGCGGACGCAACCATTGGGGCGTTCGGTGGCGTTCCCTTTGGGGCTACGAAACGGGATGGGTGCGGCGAAAGCGGCGGGGAGCCGCATGTGGACCCTGCCGCGGAGCCTTCGGCGGACATCCTCGTAGGACCACGAAGCGTGTGAGGGGCGTGCCGGAATACATGTACAGGACACATACGGACAGTGCCACTGGGACCTTCGATCGACCTCCGTATGGAACCACGAAACGTGTGAGGCGCGTGCCGAAAATGGGCGGTCAAACCGCAGGCGAACGCAACCACTGACGCCTTCGGTGGAGCTCCGTATGGGGCCACGAAACGTGTGAAGGGTGTGCCGAAAAGGGGCGGGGGGGGGGCCGAACAAAATGCGAACGCAGCCGCTGGGGCATGCGGCGAAATCCCCTGCGAAGCCACAAAAAGCGTAAAGGGTGCACCGAAATGGGAGCGGAACAACATGAGAACGCAGCCAGTGGGACTAACGGTGGAGATCCCTACGGAACCACAACGCGTGCTGGGTGTGCCGATTTTGTGGCGGAACCGCATGCAAATGCAGACACTGGAACCTTCGGTGGAGCCCCCTTCTGAAGCCACGAAGCGTGTGAGGAGTGTGCCAAAGTGGACGGGGGGCGACATGCCAACCATGCCACTGGGGCCTTCGGTGGATGTCCCTCTGGGGCCACGAAATGTTTCAAGGGTATGCCAAACTGCAGAAGTAACGGCATGCGAATCACGCCACTGGGGCTTCCGGTGGAGCTCCCGATGGGGCCACGAAACGCGCGAGGGGTGTGCCAAAGTGGAAAGGGAGGGGCGGCATGCCAACCATGCCACTGGGGCCTTTGGTGGAGTTAACATATGAGGCCACGGAACGTGCCCAGGGTGTGCCAAAGTGGAGGGGGGTGCGGCATGGAACATTCGGTGGAGCTCCTCATGGGGCCACGAAACGCGCGAGGGGTGTGCCAGAAGTGGAGAGGGGGGTGCGGCATGCGAACCATGCCACTGGGGCCTTCGGTGGAGCTCCCTACGGGGCCACGAAACGCGCGAGGGGTATGCCAAACTGGAGGGGGGGGCATGCGAACCATGCCACTGGGGCCTTCGGTGGAGCTCCCATGAAGCCACGAAACGTGCGAGTGGTTCGCCAAATTGGAAGAGGGGCGGCACGCGAACCATGTCACTGGGGCCACGGCGCTTACTCAATGCACTCCGGCGGTAGGACCCCACGTGGAAAACACGCGCAGTTTGCCCTGAGCCTTTTCCCCTTCGCCCGGGCGGACTCCCTCCCCTCGTCTCTGCTCTGCCCTCGCATCCTTTTCCTCCTTATATTTATCCTCCTCCTCCTCCTCCTCCTCCTCCTCCTCCTCTTCCTCCTCCTCCTCGTCCTTCTCTCTCTCTCTCTCCTCCTCCTCCTCCTTCTCCACCTCATCCTCTTCATCACCCTTCCCCCACCCCTCCCCCCTCTCTTCGTCCCCCCCCCCTGCTTCTCAACGTGCACTCCCCCCCCCTGGTCGGGGCAAGCAAGTCGATTTTCCTCGGCGCCGTCGACGCCTCGGCCAACACGCGCGCGTTTTCCGTCGGCTAGATCGCGAAGCCCTGTGGGCGACCCCGCGGGCCATGTTTTTGGGACAACCCCGCGGGCCGCTGGGGCGCGGCGGCAGGCCGCCGGAACAACCCCACGGGCCAGTCCGTTGGGGCAACCCCGCTGGCCTCGAAGCGGGCGCGGCCGCGCTCAGGCGGGGGGCAGCGCGAAGCCCGGCCGCGCGGCGAGCTGCTCCGCATCGGCTGCGGAGCTCCGCTCTCCGCTATCTCGTCGAACTTCGGGAGCGCTTTCCGCGGGGGCGCCGGCGGCCCGCGCGCCGGCCGCAGGATCGACATGTTCCGCACACACGCGGAGCGGGGGAAGACGACGTGGAAGCGCAGCCACCACTGCTCGTCCGACATGCCCGCGCGACCAGCGTCATCATCCTGGGCGCAGTCGACGGCGCCGCCCTTGCGCGGCGTCTGGTCCTGCGACAGCGCGGGGGTCACGCGCGACGCGCGCGCCGGGGTGGACCCCGAGCGGCGCACGACGCGCGGCCCCGAGCTGTACCAGGTGAACGCCTTCTCGAAGGACCTGAACATCAGCAAGGTCCTCGCCCGCGCCTCGGCCTCGCCGTCGTCGTCCGCGCCTTCAGCGCCCTGTAGCAAGACCTCGGCGACCTCCTGGCAGGTCGGGGGCTCCTTGAAGCCGCGCACCAGCAGCCAGACCCCCCCCGCGTTAGGTTGCGGGGGCGAAAGAGCTGGCCTGGCGCGCGCCCCTCGCACCCCCGCTCGTCTGGGTGAAAGTCGAAGGAAACGATGGAGTCCCGTTGCTCTTGCACGAGCCCCAACTTATTCAGCTCCTCCTGCACGGCCGCGAACGGGACTTCCATGCCAACGCGCGCCGGCAAGACGCCGTGGATGTCCCCCGTCTTGCGCATGTTCGGGAATTCCAAGAGGCGCCGGCCCGCGCCCAGGTCGCCTTGGATCGCGTTGTTCTCGTCTACGGCCTGCAGGAGAAGGGGGGGCGCGCCCAGGACCGCGCGCCGCGACGAGCACGCTCGTTTATCCACGAGGCCCCCCCCTGAGACTTGTTCAACATTCTAACGCAAGGTGCCCCGACAGATACAAGTTTCGGATGACCCGCCCCGACTACCAACCTGCAACGAGGGGCCCCATAGGAAAAGGAGGCCCTGCCTGAGACCCCCTTCCGACGCACTTATCTACGAGGGCCCTGCCTGGGGCTTCTTCAAAGCTCAGGCGTGAGGGGCCCAAGACTGACGACGACGACGACGACGACGACGACGACGACGACGACCACAAGGTTCGGCTGACCCGCTCCGATTCCCCACTTGGAATGCGGGCCCCATAGGAAGGGGGCCCCCGCCTGTGACTTCCTCGCAAGTCACTCACAAATGAAGCCCCCGCCTGAGGCTTCTTCAAGATGAGTGCATGAGTGTGTGACTGTGTGCATGTGTGCGTGCGTTTGTGTGTGAGTGTGAATGCGCGTGGGCGTGATTTCAATGATGATGGTGATGCCGATGAGTGGGCGAGTGGGTGAGGGGCTGAGTGATGCTGAAGATGATGGTGATAGTGATGAGCGCGAATGCGCGAGCGCGCGAGCGCGTGTGTGAGCGAAGTAAGAGGGGGGCGGGATGATGATGACAATGATGAGTTTCCTCCCGCGCAACACCTGGACTACTGAACAGCAGAACTGCCCGTCAGCTAACGCGCCCAGACGCGTAAGACAGGCGGACAGAAACACTCGAGAGGTTCCACGGCTGCCGCGGCTGAAACCGAGCAGGCAAAAGTCGGGGAGGCATGGAGGCGATCGATCCATCCCAGCCGAGACCATGCAGTAGGCCTGCCGCCCGAGAGAGTCGGGCGGCCAGAGACGGCGCGGGCGGGCAGACGGCACGCACGCGCCCCGACCTGGCGCGGGAGCACGGACAGCCACGAACAAAGAAAACAGACAGAGAAACAACACCCCAGTCGCATCAGGTGCGCCTCGCAAATGCGAGGACCGTCGCAGCGACTGGCGGATCTGGATGCCGCCACGCACGGAGAGGGGGCGTGGAGACGAGAGGCGGCAGCAGCAGCACTGGAGAGCCAAAAGGAGTATTCTGGGCGAGAGCATTCGGGCGGCGACGACTCGCATCGGCAGCGTCGCGCAGATTCGCATCGGCAGCGTCAAGGGTGAGCCCCAGCCGGCTGGACGGGTCTTGGCGGATCCCCCCGAAGCGCAAACAGCACCACACTACATAGGAGGAAGATGAAAGGTACCTTTCTTCCCCGAGTTTACGGTGTGGACGACATCGCCGTCATCGTAGTCGTCGTTGTCGCCACGGCGTCGTGGATATCGCCGCATTCGAAGACTCCAACGCCGTCATCGCAAAACATCGTCGGCGTCGTCCTAGTCGACGTCCAGATCTTCGCCATTACTATACTCAATATGGTCACGGTTGTCGTACTCATGACGTCGCCACCGTCACCCTGCCTGATGCGCTCCTCCCTTCCATCCCGCGGCGCGGACCCTGTGCCCAGGCGGCGATGAACTGCCGCGAGAGGAGCGCGGCGAAGCCCGCCGAGGCCAAGAGGCTCCTCCAAGGCGAGAAAGCTAGCAACAGGAGCACCAAGGTAAGATATACCTCCTACGCCTCGGCGGGGACACGAGCGAAGAGCATGAGACAAATCCTACAGATTCCGCTGAAGTTGTAACCCGGGGGCCAACAATCCAGTTTGAGCCCCGTGACTTGCCCTGAAAAAAGAAAACAGTGCGAGCCCCGAAGTAAGCACTTCAATTGAAAAAAAACAATGGTCACCGGGGAGGGGGATCAACAATAATTATTATTAAATACTGAGAGGGTTCAACAACAATAGCAGCAACAGCAACAACAACAACGACAATCACTTTAAGACTGCTCGCTCTTACTGGCACGCGTGACTTGCATTCCGTATACCCCGACCCTCGATACCCGCCCACCTCGTCTTCGAGTGCACCCCCTTTCGAGGGGAATCTCTTCCTTGTCGGCCACTGACTGAAGTGCGAAGAAGTCTCGAGCGAGAGCGCCATCAACGAGTTCGGGGGTCTCTCTGGCCAGACGCTCCCGGAATACATATGGAAAAATATTGAACGGGAGCCCTTGTCGCTTGAGTTCGGGGGCCTTCTTGGCCAAGGGCTCTCGGATGAAATCGTGGGGAAATATCGAGCAGGAGCCCTTGTCGTCGTGGTTGGGCCTCCGCCAACTCAATTGAATTGCCAGGAAATCTCGAGCGACAGCGCCGTTCCAGACTTCGGGGGCCTCTCTGGCCAGGGGGGCTCGGGGTAAATGTTTCAAGAAGTATCATGCGGGAGCCGTTGTTGTCGTAGCTGGGCCTCCAAGGGCCCACGTTTAGGGTCAAGCCAACGCTCGAGCGGGAGCCTCGTTTTCAGAAGAAATGTAGCCGGCCTCGAGGCGAGAGCCAGCGGAACCGCTTCCGGAGATCAACCATAAATGTTATTTAAATATGAGTAGTCAACCACAACAACAACAACAACAACAACAACCAACAAAGACAACAACAACAACAACAACAACAACAACAACAACAACAACAACATCAACAACAACAACAACAACAACAACAACAATAACAACGACAACGACAACGACAACGACAACGACAACAACGACGACAACGACAACGAAAACGACAACGACGACGACGATGACGACGACGACGACAACAACACCAACAACAACAACAAACTGGCGACGCCTCCTGGCACCGCGGCATACACGGAGCAATCGACCTCGATTACTCCGTGCATCCGAGGCAGATTCGAATTGGATTCCTATTGGAACCTGCATAGTGGATACACGGGGTAATCATACTCGATTACTCCGTGTATCCGAGGCAGAATCACATTGATTCCTATTGAAACATGCAAATTCAATACACGGAGCAATCGCACTCGATTGCTCCGTGTATCCGAAGCAGATTCTAATTGGATTCCGATTGGAACCGACATATTGGATACAAGGAATAATCGCACTCAATTATCCGTGTACGCGAGGCAGATTCTAAAATGATTCGTATTGGAACCTGTATATTGGATACACGGAACAAATCGCATTCGATTACTCCATGTATCCCAAGCAGATTATAATTGGATTCTTCTTGGAACCTGCAGATTGGATACACGGAGTAATCGCACTCGATTTATCCGTGTATCCGAGGCAGATGCTACTCGGAGTCCTATTGGAACCTGCACATTGGATACACGGAGTAATCGCACTCGATTATTCCGCGTACCCGGGGCAGATTCCAAGTGGATTCATATTGGAACCTGCATGTTGGGTACACGGAGAAATCGCACTCGTTTACTCCGCGTATCCGAGGCAGATTCTACTTGGATCCCGATTGGAACCCGCATGTCGGATACACGGAATAATCGCACTCGAATACTCCGTGCATCCGAGGCAGATTTTGATTGAATTCATGCTGGAACCTGCATATTGGAAACACGGAGAAGTCGCACTTGATTACTCCGTGTATCCGAGGCAGATTCCAATTGATTCCTTCTGGAACCTGCAAATTCAATACACGGAGTAATCGCACTCGATTACTCCGTGTATCCGAGGCAGATTATAATTGGATTCCTATTGGAACCCGCATGCTGGATACACGGAGTAGCCGCACTCGCTTACTCCGTGTATCCGAGGCAGATTATAGTTGGATTCCTATTGAAACCTGTATATGGGAGACACGGGGAAATCCCACTCGTTTACTCCGCGTATCGGATGCACGGAATAATCGAACTCGACTACTCCGTGTATCCCGAGCAGATTATGATTGGATTCCTATTGACAGCTGCAATACACGGAGCAATCGCATTCGACTACTCCGAATACCCGAAGCAGATTCGAATTTGATTCCTATTGGAACCTGTATATTGGATACACGAAGTAATCACACTCGATTACTCAGTGTATCGAATACACGGAGCGATCGAACTCGATTACTCCGCGTATGCGAGGCAGATTATACTTGTATTCCTATTGGGACCAGCATATTGGATACACGGAGTAAGCGCACTCGATTATTCAGTGAATCCGAGGCAGAATATAACTGGATTCCTGGTGGAACCTGTATATTTGATACATGGAGTAAACGCATTCGATTACTCCGTGTATACGGGCGCCAGCAAGCGTCGCTAGTGACAACAACAACAATATCAATAACAACTATAATAGCCACAGAACAACAACAACGACAGCAACAACAACAACAATCATTATAAGACTGTTCGATCTTACTTGCCCGTGTGTCATTCAAAACGAGTTCCCCTGACCCCCCTTTTTGTGTTCGATCACTCCCCCTTTGGGTGGACTGTTTCTCTTTGCGGGGGGCCGCGGGCTTAGACAGGCGGGCAAACGTGAACGGGCGGACAATCCTTCGTTGGCGTACATGTGCCCGCCATTGGAATTTGTGTGGGCCCTGCAAAAAAAGGGGGGGGAACGAGGGAGAGCGGGAGGAAGGGAGGGGGAAGGACGAAAGAAGAGGGAAAACGCCAGGAGAAAAAAGAGCGAAGAGGGGGGCGGTTGATTAGAGGCAGAGAGAGAGAGAGTGAAACACAGATAAGAGAGGTTGAGAGAGGGGAGAAAGAGAGAGAGAGAGAAAGAAAAAAAATAAAATAAAGAAAGAAAAAAAGAAAGAAAGAAAGAAAGAGGAAGGAGGCAGGAGCGGGGAGGGAGAAGGGAGGGAGAGGAGGGAGAGGGGATAGGGCAGAGAGGCGTAAGGATGAGGGAAGGGATGAGGAGAGGAGGGAGGAGGGAGAGGGAGGAGGAGCAGGAAGGTAAGAGCCTGAACGTTCGAGGAAGTCCCAGGCGAAAGCGCCGGTCCTGAAGGAAGTCTCGGACGGGAGCCCACGACGGGCGGGCGATCCCCTGACGGGCGGGTCGGGCGGGTGGGACATTCAAGCGGGATGTCTGAGTATGAGTATGGCGACGGCGCGATTCCTAAGAAAATTGTGACGGTGCCCTTGGCGCAGCGTGTTTCCTGAGCGTCGACAGCGCGATGTCTGAATAATTGCATGGAAGTCACAGGCTAGAGCGCAATTCCTAAGTAAAAGGTTAGGGGCTCTCTGGCGGGAGCGGGGGTCTTGATTACATTGCGAAGAAATCTTGGCTCAATTACGAGGAAGTCTCAAGCGGGAGCGCCGTTCCTGAGTAAATTGTAGAGAGGTCTCAGATGGGAGCAAGGGTCTTGACGAAACTACGAGAAAGTCACAGGCGGGAGCACCGATCCTGAGTAAATTGTAAACAATTCTCCAGCGGGAGCCGTTGTTGTAATCCCCGGGGCCAGAGGCGCAGTTTGAGCATCGAGACTTTCCCCGTCAGAAAACAGGGTGCAAGCGTCGAGGGGCACACTATGATTGAGAAAAACAATATGCACCGGCGAGGGGGGATCAACAATAATTATTCTTCAAAAATGAGAATCCAACAACAACAACAACAACAACAACAAACAGTTTAAGACTGTTCGCCCTTATCAGCTCGAGTGTCCAATAACGCGTACTTCCCAAACCCTCGATACCCGCCCTCTTCGTCTTCGATCGAACCCCTTTCGGGGGGTATACCAATCTTCCCTGCAGGCCGGGCCCCGGCAAGCGGCGGGGCGGCCGCGGACCGTCGGCCTGGCCAGCGGCAGCGCTGATCGGCGGGGCGGCCGCGGACCGTCGACCCGACCCCAAGAGGGACGGACAGGGGACCGACCACCACGACGACGACGACGACGACGACGACGTCGACGACGACGGCAACGACGGCGACGGCGACGGCGACGACGACGACGAGCGAAAGCGAGAGCGAGAAAGAACGACAACAGAACCACGAAGGACACGAAGTAGGCCACGAAGGGCGACAGCGGGGACACGAAGGGAATGCGTATGGGGCCACGAAGAGCGCGAACGAGCGTGGGCCACGAAGGGCAGATAATGCGGGGCCACAGAAGGCAACGATGGGGCCACTGAGGGTAGCACCTGGGCCACGTAGGACAATGAGGGGGCCACAAACGGCGACAGCGGGGCCACGAAGGGCATGCACATGGGGCCACAACGGGCGCGAACGAGCGGGGGCCACGAAGTGCATACGTATGTTGGGCCGCGGAGGGTACGGACGGCGCAACTGAGGGCAGCAACGGGGAAACGAAGGGCAGCGAGGGGGCCACGAAGGGCGACAGCGGGGCCACGAAGGGCATGCATATGGGGCAACCACGGGCGCGAACGAGCGGGTGCCACGAAGGGCATACATATATGGGGCCACGAAACAAAGCGAGGGGGCCACGAAGGGCTGCAACGGGGCCACGAAGGACAGCGAGGGGCCACGAAGGGCTGCAGCGGGGCCACGAAGGGCTGCAACGGGGCCACGAAGGACAGCGAGGAGGCCACGAAGGGCTGCAACGGGGCCACGAACCAAAGCGAGTGGGGCTGCAACGGGGCCACGAAGGGCAACGAGGAGGCCACGAGGGGCTGCAACGGGGCCACGAAACAAAGCGAGGGGGCCACGAAGGGCTGCAACGGGGCCACGAAACAAAGCGAGGGGGCCACGAAGGGCTGCGA